ACAGTTGGAAAGGCTTGATTTGGCTTTTGAGGCTTTGAAGAAGGAGTTATTTGGGCATTTGCATGAAGTCTTGAGGAAGCAATTGTTTGGGAAGGCGGAGGAAGCGGGACAGAGGCGGATCTTAACCAAGTTGCCCAAGAATGGGTATGCACTACCAGCTCCTTCATCGGAGGCTGTTAAATCTGAGAACAATTGAAGGGAACTCTGGAACTTGGTATGTCTGCAATTTTGTTTGGTGACTTCTTGCTTTGGGATTAAAAGATATGTTTATTAGCACAACCCGTGTAATGATTCGATATGAGCAATGTAACTATGCCACAAGGACATGCTTATTGTGTTGTTTTAAGTGAAGATTAAAGCACTAATTCAACCTTCTTTTCCATTTGGAGTCGGGGTTAGGTGTTGAGTTGTAAGACCATCAAAAGGACCATAAATATTTTGTCCTGCAATGTCAGCTGTCCTTTTGATATTTTGGGAACATTTGTTGTATGAGAGTTACTTTTGATGAGATCAATTATTAGATGTTGAGAATGCAGTTTAGGATGAAAATGGCAGTTAGCATTTATCTGTTGGTCACTGGATAGGTTAAGTTAATTCTGTATCTCATGTATTTATGTTATAAGACGAGTTATGTATTTGCCTTTATTTCTTCTAAAGTGGGTTACATTTCTAAGACAGAATCTGCAATCATGAATTTCTTATTCTTTAGCGTGAAGTTTTTTTGTTAGTCATAAGTACTTGATGTATGATATTTCATTACCATGCTGTTCTCCTACGTGTTATGAGTTTCATATGCCCTTTTTTCCTCCAATATTGGTCTACTTTAAGTAGAAGAGGTAGTGTGAAGCAATATTTGGTAATTCAACATTCATCTGAAGGCAAGAGAACATATTGGCGGAAATTGTTAACACAATAAACCATTGATTGTTATAATGTTCAAGCTCATTGACTAATTTACTTATAAAGTGGGAAGGGGAAAGCAGAATTCACATTTTGCATCCTTATTTTTGCTTGTAAGTTTATGTAAGCTTTGGGAGAGAAAAGAGATGTATTGATGTCTTAATACTTTTGCATACAACTGATTTATAGGTTTCAAGAAAGATACATATGCATTTTGCAAATATGGTATCTAACTTAGGAACTCGACACTTCACATTCTAACACTAACGCTTCTTTTTTTGAGAAGATTCTAACACTAACACTTAACACTAAAACAATTTTAATCATTCTATGCATTCCACATGTGACATCTTTCTCGAATTGTTGATTTGTTCCTAAACTAATGGGGTTTGAAGGCGACTTTTTGCAGCAAGCATCTCATATATTACAGATGCTTTCTTTCCTAATAAGAGCAGAGTGTTAAAGCTGATCTACTCTTGATTCAGGTGTTTCCCCTTTCTCAACTGAAAAACTGATGCGGAAACTAAAAAATAAAAGATTCATATTGGCTGCTAGCAATTGAGATAGCATGCTTCTCGTAGTTGCTGCATGATGTTCTGTTGCTTCATTTGTTGGTTTAAAATGAAATACTAGTTGTTTTTCATTTTGTCGTAAAAAGAGTAGTTCATTTCCTTTTTAAGCTGCCATATTACCTTTTGTCTTCTTCAAATTGTCAGATGCAACCTTATACTCGGATCTATTTCATCATTCACAGCTATAGCCCCTCGACTAAGAATTATCTTTATGCATCTTGTTATAGTTTCTTAGTTGATATGTCAAATCTTTGTTTTGTCAGCTAAAGAAAACTTCATTCTGTTCATCTCATTTCATACAAAATCTGAATCCCAACTTGCCCGAAGAAAAGCATCGAAGCGTCCTATTTACTCTAGTGAAAAAGTGCTTTTATAGTTGATGCTCTAATCGAGCGGTTGAGACATGAGTAACAATTAGAGATCCCAAGTTCTAATCCAGCTACAAACCTTAATGTGTGCTTATTTGTTTCAACCTTGGTGGGTAAATTTACCCGACACCTGTGCTTGTAGGCTGTACCAGTATGCTCGGTGGATTTATTCAGATGCCACTAAGATGGCCCAGCACCACCCCGTAAAGTTGTATTTTATACTTTATGTCATAGTCGAGATTTGAGAACTTCATATCCGAGTAAATTGCATAACTTGGCTAATGGTTGTGCAATATTGTCAAAAATTTCATCCCCGGTTGATAATCCTTTAGACGTTGAATCATTTTCAGGTAAGTAATGGCTTTATTAGGAAATGGAGAATGATTAAGACCATACATGCTCCTTTATCTCTATTGGCCACTGGTATATTGGAGAAAGATAGCTAGTTTTTGAAAGTTATTACTTTTAATAAATCATTCGTTCAATTGTCACACTTGCCATTGGGAAAATGCAAGTGCTGCTTTGCAATGTCTGAGATGTTTGAAGGGTTCGATGTTGTGAAACTTGAGTTTTAGAAACACTTGAGGCCTACTTTCTATATATCCTTGCATATGGACCTAATCCTTCTTCTACAGAGAATTGAAAATAATGAAGGGAAACTAGAATTGAAGGAAAACGATACTGGGTTTGAGCATTCTTTTGTTTGCCATTTTATTTTCTATTCCAAAAACATCAGGGTAGAGATTTGCAGCTTGTTAGCAGCAAATGGTAGTTTTGTCCCACTAGATGTCATTAGTTAATGGGGACTCTCATCTTGGCTTTTACTTTGTTTATTATGTATACACGTAAGCTATGATACTTTTGGGCCAAGTCATCGTATATTCTTAATTTAATTGATGAATCTCTCCTTGATTTTACTATAGCTTGCTACACGGAATTAAATATTCTGTCAAGTTGTATTAACAGTAAATGGTGTAAGAAAATGTTGCATCCATTGCATATGGCTTGAAGTGGCACATGTTCCAGATTGGAAGCTTTACCAGAATACTGTTTCCCCAAAATGTATGTTCAGTTTCTTTTTTTTTTNGATTTTTGTGGCGAGGCGGTAGGAAGGATTGGATTTAATTAAATTGAATAGTCATTTCTGAGTCGCCTTTACTTTTTTGCCTCTTCAATGTTGCATCAGCTGTCTTTACATATCATTGTGTGAGTTGAGCCCATGAATTCAGACGTCATATCGACTGCCCTGGAAAATTATCACCAGTATCACAATGGCATTCATGGAATCTTCATTATACCTCACTTAAGATATACCTCACTTAAGATACCTCTCTTAGTATTTGACAGTATCAAGGTCAATTTTGGGATTATGCTGATCCATTGGTCCCTAACATAATTCTCTAGCCAGGTGAAGGAAAACCGGTTGATGTATGGTGCATATTCTTCAGGCGGAGCTCTCTTTGTTTCATGTTTGCTTTAAGCTGCAGTATCATGCACAAACTTGAAAAGAGTATCACAGCTGACGATCTTATGGATGTCGGCAGACAAGCTATAATTATCTTGAGCATACAATTGCTGCTTCTTCTGGTCTTCTTCCTTGTTAATAGTGCGAAAGATTCCATCAATAAAAAGTTTGGAGAATAGTAACTTTCTTGTATTATCTTGGTCTTTTCTCATCTATACCGTTCTCTGGTTCAATCTCGTCTACTTCTGGAATAAGGAAAAATGACCAAAGCATTTCTTTTCTTTGCGAGTTTGTTGCCATCCTGTGCACTTGGCTCTTGAATATCCCATTACTCATGATCTGCATGCAACAAAGACTTCCTAGGATTTCAAGATTTAGGCTGCAGTGAAGGCCATTTTGGTGTATGTTTAGTATACCTCAACTTCTTTGTCTTGCAACAGGAAGCTCTCCTCCAAGTTCAGTTGCCGTGGCCTTGAGGATAATCTCAGTCAAAGACTTCTACTTTTTGATGTGTTTTCCTAACATTTTCCTGCCAGGTAATATGTTAGACGGGGATTTGTTTTAAGAGTAGGCTTGTAGCTTTAGTTTCTGGGTAAAAGTACGTATACCTAAAACATTTAGATTTTGGGGCCAGAAGGTCTACTTTCTTTGATCTTCAGGGATTACATTAAGATACAATCTGATCAGTCCGATCAAGCATTTGTTTTTCTGGGAGAATTGAATCATGTCCATATATTTCAAAGTCATTGCCCGGCATACTTATTTTTTTCAGTTGGAAGAGGAAAGAATTGATTGCTAATTTGATGCACTTTGTCAAGATATGAGTCTGCCATTCCGCGAATTATTCTCTGCTCTCTCAAGTAATTCTCCCATATGTTACTCTTTGCCTACAAATACGCAGAGAGGACGGCAGATAGCTCCTATCTTACCAACAGAGTAAATGAGTACCATTTATTTTATTTCAATTTTACCTTTTCGTTTTTCTTTTTAAAATCCTTCCCTTTACTAATGTTTAATGTGTTTCCCTAGTTTTTTCCCTATTGTATTTACAGCTTTTTCCTTCATTGCGTCTTTGTTATTAGACGTTGTGTCTTTGTTATTTCTTGTTGTTGTTATTGTTTGTTGCTTCCTTTTAACTGTTCCTTGAGCGGTCTATCAGAAACATCCTCTCTACCTTCACAAGGTAGGAGTAAGATTTGCGTACACATTATCCTTCCCAGACCCCACTTATGGGATTACACTAGATTTTTTGTTGTTGTTGTTGTTGTTTACAACTTTTTCCCTTTACTTGTGTCCCTCCACCCAGAACGGAAAAAAACTTCCAGTTTGCGNGCATGATTTGTGTTGTCAGTAGACTAAGATCAACTTGTGATGTGAATAGGCTATAACTGTTGAATATCAAACAGCTATATATCCTTACAACTGTCCACGAGTTCCTGAATTGGCTTGAATAGTGTTCCTATCCTGAATTGGTTGTTTAGTTGTTTTTGACTTTTTGTGTATTTTCCACGAAAAAACCACAGGAATGAACTGAAGTGGCTGGATTTTAAAATCTTTTTGTCAAGGCTTGATTTTTATAATTAGCTGGTTGTTTGTAAATCTTATTTCTCTTTAGTTCTTACCTTAATGTAGATTCTTGTCAAACATTGACAAGATGGCAATAACGGTACATATAACAACAAACGTTCAACATTGTGAAGATAAACATCTGGTCTTCACTAATATTGCTCAGATTATTCTCATACAACAAAAGTATTGTTCACGTTATTGCATAGGATTCATGGGTTACAGATATCAACTAGCGCTGTGTTAAGCACGAAAAGATGAGAGTGAAGCACTATATACTTTAGATTTTCACAGCATCGAGTGGTCTCTTTCCTTGCTGGTAGTATTGGAAGTAAGTTGAAAGATAATCCTTCGCTGTCTTGTATAATCTTGGCCTTTTATCATCAATGAGCTCCTCAACAGGCTCGATGTCACTCCCGGATTCTGGGCTAAAGAACGTAGCCACACTGATCCTCTCTTTCTCTGAGTTTGTCACAGCTCTGTGTACGGGGCTCTTAAGAAGTCCGTTACTCATTATCTGCAGGTAGTAGATATTGTTATCAAGATTAGAGAATTGGAGTTGAATTCACTTGCATTTAAAAATAGGATCATTTTCGTACCTCTACTTGATCACCAACATTGACAAGAAAAGCATAAGGCATGATGGGAACTCGGTACCATTTATTGTCTTTCAGTATTTGAAGGCCTTCAACTTCTTTATCTTGTAAGAGAATGGTAATGGCCGATCCATCTGCATGGGATTTGAGGCCACGAACAAGTTTTGGCCTCGGACATGGAGGGTAAAAGTTAAATCTTGCATATATTACTGGCCTGTCTCCATATTGTTTCAGAAATCGATCATCCGGTAAGTTCAAACACCTTGCCATGGACTTGAGGAGCTCTTCTGCTATCAGTTTTAATCTGCTGCTATATTCTTCTAAAATTTCCCTGTAAAGAGAGGATTTATCTTACATACATTGACATTTTAAAAAATTTACAAGTATATTTAACCTGTTGTAACAGGTAACATGTTCCATTCTAGGTTACTAGTTCCACCTATTGTGGACAGTTTACCTATAGTTATCTTATGGTGACTTGATAATGTATAAATATTTTTAAAATATCAGTGTATAGAAGTTAATTGTGGAAATAGCTTGTTGCAGAAATGCAGGGTAAGACTGCGTACAGTAGAGACCCTTGTGGTCCGGCCTTTCCCCGGACACCGCGCATAGCGGGGACTTAGTGCATTGGGCTGCCCTTTAGTATATAGAAGTTAAGCTCTTGAAGAAAAAGTGGTAAGTGCTCAATATTATGCACTTGAGTTTAAACATAAGGTATTCGGAACATTGTTTTAAGTTGCTGTTATTTCCATAGGTAGAGACAGAAATACCTAAACGACTTGGGATTTTCAGGCCAATACTTGAGCTTTCGCTCATCTTCTGGATGAACCAGGAGATATATTCGGTCAGTCCAATCAAGAGTTTGATTTTCAGATAGAACCATGTCATTTCCATATCCATCCATATCGTCTGCTGCTCTCCCATATTTTTGCTTCTCTTCCATTGAAAGGTCAAAGAATTGTCTTGAAGCTTTGTGTACTTCATCTATGATTGATTCTTCAATTCCATGGTTTATTGCCTGAAACTTTATACTTCTCTTAGAATATGCTAAAAGTACTCAACAGAGCTTGAAAGATGCAGTTTAAGGACAGCCTGGTGCACTAAGCTTTCGTTATGCGCGAGGTCAAAGGAAGGGTCATGCCACAAGGGTCTATTGTACGCAGTCTTACCCTGCATTTCTACAAGAGGTTGTTTCCACGGCTTGAACCCGTAACCTCCGAGGCTCCCCTTCTAAAGATGCAGTTTAACAATATACAAATCTTGGATGCAAAAAGTATCATTATGGTGAATAAGACTTCGGTTAGATATTCAAACCTGAAAACAACCCCATGAGCTTAGGGCTGATTGAAGTTTTCCAAGTTCCTCTCTCCCACAAGCTGATGAAGATGTCAAAACCTTCATATCAACTACAGGTATGTCGATTATCGGTACGTCCTCTTCTATGGCTCCATATTGAAAATCCTTGCTTACGTACTTATCCGGTATTTCATCACCATCTTTCACTATCTCTTGAACTAGTTTGCAGCCTATATCTGCTGTAATTGGAGATAGTCCAGCCATATTCTGTGAAATATTAGTAAGAAGAGTTTCTAGAGATATTTAGGGATAGCATATAGCAGTGAGGTTGATCATTATCTAAATGCTGTGTCCTCTTGTTTTATATTTATAAGCTCATCCCAGGGTTCACATTGAGGTGTACATGTGGTTGCTTTCTTATTGATAAAGATTACAACTCATTATATGTATTGCCACATCAAAGAAGAAGTTAACATGCTAGGCTGCAAAATATGGCAGTATGTGCATCATCTGTTAAACTTATCCCGTGGATATATATCTGGCGCGGTGTATCAGTTTTTTGCACAAGTGCTACAGCAAAAAGATACTCCCTCCGTTCCAATTTATGTTAACATGTTTGACTGAGCACGGAGTTTAAGAAAAAATAAAAACTTTTGGAATTTGTGGTCCTAAACAAGTCAAAAAGGGGTCCAGAGTATTTGCGTGGTTATAAAAGCTTCTCATTAAGGGTAGAATTATAAGTTTAAGCTAAATTGTTTCCAAATTTAGAAAGGGGTCGTTCTTTTTGGAACGGACGAAAAAGGAAATAGGTTCACGTAAACTGGAACGCAGGAGTACCTGCTTATGGATAAGTGATGTACAATTTGAAGAAACATACAACATTTGATTGGCCATTTGACTTGGACGGAGCGGAATGGATTCTGAGAATTCATAGTCAATCTCAACTTATTGGAATTGAGTGCAGTTGATTGATTGTAGTAGAGGAGTTGTCCCAGTCTGAAGTTCTCTAAGTTCAAGTTAGTAATGCATTAATCTAGGTGACAAAACAACTCCTTAGGAAAACTTATTTCCCATGTTTGCTTTAAGAAACACATATTCAACTGCTTTCACAATATATCAATTCAATATTAAGCTATTCTGTAACTTACGGATTTGGTTTTCAGACACACTCTCTATATTATGAGATTGAATCCAAAGAGGCTCTATAATCGTTACAAGATGTATCGTTACAATCGTTACAAGATGTTTGACAAGAGTGGGTTGCTCTAGTGGTGAGCACCCTCCACTTCCAGCCAAGAGATTGTGAGTTCGAGTCACCCCAAGAACAAGGTGGAGTTCTTGGAGGGAAGGAGCCGAGGGTGTATCGGAAACAGTCTCTCTACCTCAGGGTAGGGGTAAGGTCTGCGTACACACAACCTTCCCCAGACCCCACTAGTAGGATTTACTGGGTTGTTGTTGTTGTTGTTGTTGTTGTTGTTGTATGTTGGTCTCTTGCCTGGTTAGATTTGTTATTATCTTTCACTTCGTCTATATATGTTCGTGAATTCAGGGGCGGCTTAACAAACTTGGTGGTCTAAAGCCAAAAATATTAAGAGGCCCTTTAACTTCTTTCATAAAATACATAAACTAATGAGACCAAAAAAAAATCTATATGACTTTGGTCTAGTGATAAGGGCGCAACGCGTCATCACGTCATGTCCAGGTTAAGCGCTTGTCATAGTTTTTAATTTTTTTGAAAATAAAATCATGGTATTTAAGTGAAAAAGGATAGATGAATGGGTCCGTTATGAATCGAGGTTCGAACTTTGTGCGACTTGTCCTCGAAGATTTCTTAGTTTAAAAATATGAGAGCAAAATAACTTACTTTGTGATGTATGTATTAATTAAATATGACAAAAATATATAGCTAATTAAGAAAAATTGAGTTGAATTTGAAAATTAAAATCGTCATGAACATATAAAAGAAGAGTGTAAATAGAGGAAGAAAACTAGAATTGATAAGAAGCTAAATACACTAGGAGTATTTAATCTAATGAGAGAGAATTAATCATTATTTACTCACTCGCCTGTCAACCTCAACCAAATAAAAAAATACTAAAATTTGAAATATTTATTGATAATAATTACATAAAATTATATACTGTATTAATATAATACTTATTTTTGGGGCCCTTAATAATTGGGGACTTAAGGCAATGCCTTCACTTGCCTTACCTTCTAGCCGGCCCTGAGTGGATCTAACATTGGTTGTCAGTTTCATTTGTATCTACTATTTTTTACGGGGAATATAAATTTGTATCTAAAAATTCATTAAAATTGAAAGAAATAATAATATATAAAATTATAACTTTTAAAAATTATAATGAGTTCAATGCAAAAATCTTAAAGATTGAACCATATAATTTAAATCTTGGATCCGCCTCTGATTACGTGGATCCTTCATTTTTTCTTGATGTATTAAATTCTTTTAGAAGTTGAAACCAGTGATAATCTTTTAGAAGTTGAAGACCTTCTACTTCCTTTTCTTACAAATAAAAGGATGGTAATCATGTTTTATTCATCTGCATTTATTAAATACCAAGGACCTCTACGTTTTAATCCTCTGTTAAACTACCTCATAGTTTTTAGATTACTAGTTTCTGTGCACGGCGTTGCGCGTGGACCACAAAAACTGAATAATAATGTTGATTTTATTTAGATTGATCTAGATAACCCGATAAAGAACAAATCTTAAGGAAATTGTCTATCAAGATGATAAAATTAAATTACATAAATTTTACTAATTAGACAAAACGTCGAAATGAAATATACTTCGTATCAATACATGAGGAAAGACCCTACACCAAACTTGATATCTAAAACATATAAAAAGTGATTTAGCTCCTATGGAAGAAGATGATGAAGATATCATTATGGGAAATTATAGAAGCTTTTCTTAATGAAAAATCTCAAACAAATTTAGAGACAACCATAGGCTCTAAAATTGTTGAACTATATTAACGAGCAGCACAAAAGATTAATATTTTTTTATCTCCAAATTCAAATTCACAAATGACTTGTCGGCATGTTAACTTCAAGTTAAATATAATGCATTCTTAAACTCACAGATAAATAGAAAAAGTATTTGCGAAATTAAATAAAATCAGATCATACCATCTCATTATTTAATTTAAATATAAATATTCGTCGTTACCTGAACTTAATTCATTTTACCTTCTCTTTGCCTTTAAGTTGATATGATCTTTTTCTATGCATCAATTTTAGTCACACTTTATTTTGCGTTTCTATATTTTCGATTATCTATAATGGAAAAATTTATCGAGCTAAATGCAATTAAGTTACTCATATTATAAAGCCAAACAAAGTGCTCTATTCTAACATCAATCAATTTAGTTGTTTGATGTCATCTACATTTGATTTATCATCCAAGATACAAATAAGGCGGAATTAACCATATTGATCATACCAAAGTGATTTATTTTTTCACCGCACAACACAAAGAGTAGCAATATAACCATCGAACCAACCTCAGTAATTATTTAACCAAAATTAAAAGTCTAACAGGAGTTTCGATACACAAAATAAAAAAAGAGTAATTCTAATAATAGATAAGTGGAAAAAAGAACAAGAGAATAGGAAAGGAAACAATATGTTAACGGTGGACTTCTTGTGTCTTTCCGTGTCATGCGTCAAACTCTTCATCATATACAACAACAACAACAACAACCCAGTATAATCCCACTAGTGAAGTGTGGAGAGGGTAGTATGTACGCAGAACTTACCCCTACCCTGAGGTAGAGAAGCTGTTTCCGATAGAACCTCGGCTCCCTCCCTCCAAGAACTCCCCACCTTGCTCTTGGGGTGACTCGAACTCACAACCTCTTGTTTGGAAGTGGAGGGTGATCATCATATAATATACAAAAAATGTCCAAATATATCCCTGAACAATATAAAATAGTTTACATTTGCCCTCTGTTAATAATTGGGGGCAAATATACCCTTGCCGTTACTAAAATAGGTCATATTTACCCTTATTTCAAATGGAAAAATTATTAAGTACTAATTATCACCAAGTTTTGCCACGTCCACTTTTATTTTATTTTAAAATATTTTTTAATAATAGATCATCTTCTTCACCACCGAAAATTCTCTTGGAAAAACAAATTTCAAGCTCAATCACCATTTTCCAAAATTAAAACTACTCCTCACACACTGCTGATCATATAATTTATTTCACTACGTAAAATAATTCTCATCAAAACCCACCAATCTGTTTTCTTTCTCTTCATCCATCATCTCAAATTCCACCATTTTCATAACCAAATATATATTCCAACCAAAGAAAATCCAAACTGCTAATAATGGTAGATTGCAATTTAGCACTCTTTCAACTAGTGTTTACCAGAAATTGTAACTTTTTGGTTATGAAAATGGTGAAATTTGGTCATCCAATTTAAACACTCTGCAACTCACCAAACCCATCATTCTGTTTTCCTTTTTCTTTGTCTCATCATCTCAAAATCCACAATTTTCATAACCAAAGTTTCAGTCCAATAAAAAAATCCAATTTTAGGAGGGGAGGTACTTGCCCAGGTGTGATTCTTTTGACCATCCAAATCTGTCTCTAGGGGTGATTTCCGGTAACACGATAGCATGATTATTTTTTAGATTCGTGCAAATAGAAGAAATTATTTTTTTAGATTTGGTCGATTTTTTTTTACTGGGAAAGGAGAAATTTAGCAGTAGAAGAGGTGTTAAAGGGAGTGGTAAGAATTTAAGGCTACGAAGGAAGAAGTTTGGATTTAAATGGGAATGAAAGCTTGAAAACTTTTACCTCATTGTTATTGACCAGAATTTTTTCTCTCTCTTTATCTTTTTGGTTCTTTTCGGATTGGGAAGAGAGTAATGGGGAGACAAAGGATTTGGGCTAAGTTTTATCTACGTCAGCAACAAACTATGCTTATCAGACTAATTAAAGATAATCACACCTTAATAATTTTTCATTTGAAATAAGGGTATATCTAACCGTTTTAGTAACGGCAAGGGCATATTTGCCCTCAATAACTAATGAATAGCAAATGTGAACCATTTTACATAATTCAGGGTATATTTGGATATTTTTCGTATAATATACCATACATTCTAAAAGGAGCTTATTTAGCCAATAAAACGAATTTCACACTAAAGTATCCAAATGAAATTAACTATTATTATTTCCAAAACGTAAACCATAAAATTTTCCTAAGAAATCCACTTTAAGGACACATTCCTACAAGCTAAATGGTTACGCTTGACATCTTTTTGCAATCATCATTGGGCATGTTTAACAACTATGTGCTCTCTTTTTCTTCGC